CGCGTAGAGGTTTGTAGGTAGGCGGAAGTCTCCCATCTATGAACTGTTCTAAGCGCCATGTACCCGAAAATGTTGGTAATATGTTGGGATATTCAAAGTTCGGGCGCATTCGTTGGCAGAACCAGAGGTTTAGAATTTGATTTCAGCCTAACAGTATCTATTGTTTCCTGATTTATCAGGACAGCAGTCTAGTTGATCCATGCCACTGGTTTAAATTAGTACATGGTGGCAAGTTAATTCCTTGATTCGACGGAATGAAAAAATTCTAATCACTAACACAATCTCCAATGATGAGTAGGACACCTCAGCCTGCAGATTAACTGGCTTCCCCCCCCCTACACACATTAAGCCAAACCGGTGCCTCCTGTTTGTAAGATCACTGACAGAGAAGAAAGTCAGTAGAATGATGCGTGGTTTCAAACACAGGTTGGCTCCGACGATGAATTTGAGGCGTCTTTAGCAGCTGTTGCCATCAGTTGGCAAATAAATGGAAAAACTCCTGTAAGATGTGGTATGAGAAAAATCGTCTGTTGATTGCCAAATGTTATAAGAAACATCTTGTAAAACGACCTTGGCTACTACTTTCCAGGCACTCTGATCCTAGTGGTACCCATCCTTCTCATCAGTTTCTCTGCCATGCAAAAACAAACAATATGGAAGGACTCGGTCGGCCTTCATGCACGTGGTAACTGTGCAGACTGAATCTTTGCACTTCGTTTGTTTTCAGAACATGTCACCGTAAAACTTAGGCCGACAGAGGCCATATTCTAGGATATCATAACGGATTGTTTCTCCCTTGAATGAGTGGAACACTTGCTAGTATTGTGGTTATCTGAGGACGTCATACCAGCGCGCCTAAAGGAAGGTCAGCCGCCGCCCAATTTGTCTTATCCTATTCATGACCCCCAACCAATTACTGATACAGTCGGTCAGGAAGTACTTAAGGCAAAAACTGCAGAGACGATAATAATCGTTCCGGTGAGAAAATCGTTTATAAAAGCCCCCACATCGCATCCTTTTCTCAGGTAGAACTAAGAAATACAGACAGTCTAGAATAGCTTGATGATTCAGGCCAGGGTATACTTTCTGCCCTCAAACGATGAGGCATTCTTCTTTATATCTGCCACTGTTTGTGTCAAGCTCGGGAGGCTATTTAATCGCAGTCAGCAGCACTTTGCAGTTTGAAAGCTGTTCAGTAGCTAGCTCTTCTCGGCTACATCTAGTAACTGTCTGGGGACTTGGGTATCCCCAGGAGGAAGACAACGGATTACACCAGGAGCATTTGCGTTTTAGTGGTATTTAGGTGGCAGCCATTTTGGTTAGCAGTTCGTTATGAATGTGCACCGAACAAGTGTTGGCAGTGAATTTTAAATTTTTCTGGCCAGTAAATTCGATCAAAGGCAATTGACCCAGCAAATGTGGAATTTTTTGTTTAAAAATCGTTTACCCTGTTGACTCAAAATCACTTGTCGGTAGTCAGATTGCAGGAGCTGTTTTTAGCCACGTCCAAATTTTGTAGTAGACCCATGAGAGTTTAGAAGCATGAAAAAGTGGCCTCTAGTTGTAAGGTGGAAATTTCTCATCCACTTTTTGCTAGCAAAATCCAAAGGAAATTAGCTCTAATCAGAGGGGGCAATTGAAGATATTACTGCAATTCAGTTGGTGCAGCAACCCAATTTGTCAACAGGCAAGTCGGAAACAGGGCAGATGTCTTCAGGGGACTAAAGCGTTTCTTAAATGGGTAGCGTCTTTGTCACTGGGATTGATGTAAGGGTTTAGGGAACATTAAGAGTTTAACAGATGAAAGCTATGCTCGATATAGGGGGCGTGCCTGTTATCGGCGGTATTTGCGACTGAGTGACATGGTAATTCGCACCATCCAAAGACGTATTCCCTCGTTGCACTTAGGTCTATGGCTCCCGGGTGGATATTCACATGCAGTCGGCTGACCGTTCGAATAGGTTAACAGCCTATCCATTCGTCATGATTAGCAGCTCGAGCCATATTCAGTATCTACACAAACTGGTTGTAATCCATAGTTAACTGCTTGAAGTACTGCCTGCAAAGTAGCAACATGTCCAATCCCTAAACGTTTGATCGTCTGAAAAGAAGAAAGTGCTCATTTGACTTATCTAGTCTTGAAAGTTCCATGCCATCGATTCCTAAACGACGAATATTCAGATAAAACCTGCTTGTCTGAATGAGTTAACAGCCGGTTCAAACAAGAGGTACACCATCTTTGGTTTGTGGTGAGTTCACGACACATCACCAAAACCACCCCTATAAATTGTGGCAATATGTGTGCTGCAGAAGGAATATAAATGTAGAAAAAGTCCGCGGGAAAGCTGAATGTTTCTCTGTTTTATTTTCAACATCGGATTCCACGGGGAAACCTTTTTGGTGTGGCCGACAAGTTTCCTTCCAGGTATTGACATACAATCCAATTTTCTCCGATTCGATTCTCGGGAGTTCTTTTTCGCTTGCAACTAGGATTATTCATTTTGCGTGCGGTGGTGTCGGCTTCCGAACGAATCGAGCACTAACCTGTGCCTAATGGACAGCAACATTGTTTACTCCTCATGGATGGCACCCCTTAATGGGTATTAGAGTAATACCTATGAAATAACCGTAAGCATACAGGTCCCTCCATATTTTTATGCATTGTTGGTACTAAAATGCATAAAAAAAACGGAAAGATACAGGGCAAGCGATGGACCAAAAAGTTCAAGAACCCGTGATCTAAATGAAAAACAACTGTACTGACACAATCAATTTGGCAGTGCGCCATGCATCACTTATGTAGGCCTCTGCAGCGTACAGTGCGCCATTTCGCTCTATGCATCACTTATGTAGGCCTCTGCAGCGTGGCACACATGTCCGTGGATACCCTACGTCCCTTCTAAAAACAAACAATTTCCAAAATTCGGACGATACATTTTGAGAACTCTATGCCCATCTTCACCAAATCGAGCGTTGTAAACTCCGGATAGTAAAAGTAGCAACTTTAACAGACCAAGTCAAACTTGGTCAGAGCGAAATGTGGTACATTTTTCCTGGACAAGAATTGGGCAAGAGCAACTCCTAATTCACACTGCTACTTTGACTTTAATGACTTTTCACTAAAATAATCGGTTGACAACGTGGATCCAAGAACGATCCTGAGCTTGACAAGCTCTTTCAATGAATGCCCACATTTTGTGCACAATGAAGTAAACATATTCTGACTAGCAAAATCTGCTTTCACCATCTATGATAACTGATTCACCTGTGACCAGAAGTTTATCCACACAGTGACGTCTGGCTCCACCCTGCTGTCATTAATAGCGGCGGTACAACCCATTGCAAACTTACCATGGTTACCGTAGCAACCCAAATTTATTTCCTGCCCTTCACCACCTCCGGAAAACCCCAAGAAGGATTTAATGCCCTAAGAAATACAGTTGCATTAGAGTGCGGGATAAGTAATCATGCTATTACACGAAGTTTATTTTCCCCAGATTTGATTTATTGTCCATTATTAGATAGGATGGTTGAAGGAGAATGTAAACAGCCTCGGGTTACGGGAAGGCAGTCGGGTAGCTAGATCCTAGATTGCACGCAACTTCGCTAAGATTTATGATAGAACAAGTGATCATCACCAATACACAGAAGATTATCTCGGTTATGGGTCTTTAGTTCCAGCTGAACGGGTTTTCACATCCTGTTGGAATGAGAAACGATTCTGTCTAAATTTGGCTGATAACCAGTCAGTGGGAAAGATAGACTCCATCAGAAATGTCTCTCATTTTGATTCAGCTTGACCGATTCTCAATCGGGTTGTAATGAAAGTCTTACTGTAACTCGTGGGAACATTGACGATTCGAGCCGCCCGACAAAACCTGTGCAGAAAAAACCGGAAGAATCTGATGGGAAAATGGATGTTAGTGGCTTTGTAATATGCTCAGCCGTAGTGTTAACAGTGTTGGCAGACCAATACTATATAAGCACATTTTACTATTTAACGGATGCATGCATACGCAAGAAAAAAGAATAACAAGTGGATTGTGAAATAGATATCGTCTTTTCAGTGATCTCGAACCTGAGCTTTTTACGGGCAGATTAGTGATAATTAAATACTCTTTACATTATTCAAAGCTCGGTAAAAATTCCCTGAATGAAACTACTTACGAGGTGGCTGAAAACTCTTCAATCGCCCAACCCGTTTCTCCCTTCTTAGGGCTCAACAGGTAGGCCCAGTACCAAATCAACCTTATGTTCTAGTGAAACTCAAATTGTACGAAATCCGCGAAAAACTTTCGTGAAAGAGCTCACCAGATTTCCCTCTGATCCAAACGGATCTTATAAATGGCATCTTTCGCCATGATTTTAATGTTCAAAAACAGGATGTTTCTCTCGTTGTTATTGAATCTTTCGGTTTTACTTAGGCCCATACATCTGTGTCTACCGGGTAGCTCTGCCTTGTGAAATAGGGCAACACCTACCTACGAGGAGTGTTCGTTCGAACCTATCGATCTTCACCCACATTCTTGTGAAACTGCCTAACTGCTGCGTTACACGGAGGTCGTTATTTTCAGTGGCTATTGACCGCAGCCTACAAAGACTAGAATAATAGATGGATGAACTTTTCATCTTTTTTCTCCATGAAATCGATCGCTCGTTGGCTAACCACTTTTGGGAACAAGGGATATATCGATAGCCGTTGGCCAGTCAGCAAGAGGAAGAACATTGGTGAGGTTAGTGTGCAATCAAAGCGCGACGGAAAACAGCCTCCACAGCGTAGCAGAAGCTTTCACCCGTCCAACCGGTAACCACGTGCAGTAGCTTGGACCAATCCATAACTGCACACACACACACACAGGCGGGCGTGTGTTAGCACGCAGAATGTCCACCAGTCGTCTGTCTGTTCCCAATTCAAGGGCACTTGGCACGTACTGAGCTTTTGTTCTGCTGTGCACCGAAAATTAGTTTTCTGCCCACTGGCACACTTGCACGAGGACGCACGCGTCGCTGACTTCGATTGTCCTGGCAAGCGAGTGTCAAACGCCCCCAACACAGGCGAGGACGCACGTTAACAACAAGAATTTGGGCAACCGAACGCAGTTGTGCCGAAGATATTCGGCTCAAACCGATCACCATACTGGATCCACTTTAACTTCGCAGAGTAACCAATTTTCTCCTTTCGTCTCGGTGAATTGTGTGCAAGGATCGGGAGCGGAATTACTTCGGAACATTTGGATAGTTCGTCGTAAAGGACAGGTAAGCTTATCCGGTGCAAATGATTGATATTCTCATCGCTATTATTTCTATTGAGTAATACCGTCGAGGTTGGTTTGAGCTCAGCGTAATCTTGGACGAGAACTACTTACTTCAAGATTTTCATCTTCTGGAATAATTACAAATACAACGCTTTTGTTCCAAGACTTCGATTCACCACACTCAGAAAAGAGGCATACCACGTGAACTTCTTTCTAAGGATACTACACAATGGGAAGCGGTTAGCGCTACAGACATTAGTAAAAACATGGTTGTATGCTGCGAAGTATACGGTTGTTCACTTGCCTATCTCAGGACTAATCACAAAACCATTTTATTCTCGATTCATACCCGTTAGATTTTCTTTTTGATAGTTGCTTTGCTGCCGTTTTTGTCTTATCATTCAAGAACGACTACTCCGACTTACGTACTGCAGTGAAGCATCGGTGTTGAACACTGATGTCATGCTGTCGATGATGATGATGATGATGACTCCGACTTACTAATGCATGTCTCAGATAGCAAAATTACGGGTAGCGTGGACCCGCTTCACGCTGTGGCCCACTCATTTTCTGGTCCGAGCCTGAAAATCGCTGTTATAATCAGTGATGTTTACTTAACTGGGGAATCAAATAGGCAGATGTTAACGGAATGGTACTTCGAGAAATACACTCATTTGCGAATCAATTTGGTTTTCATTAGAGACTCAATTGAATCTCTCGTTTGTGATACTCTACAACTAAAAGTGCTACACAGAAGCGGCCTCATGATTCAGTTGGCACGATATTCGAGATGTCGCAGTATCTTTCCATAAAAGAAACTACTCACAAGGTTACTGAAAACTCTCCGACAGCCCACGATGGGTTTCGCCCTTCTTGGGGCTCATCAGGTAGGCACATTCCCCGAGTTTCCGTCAACCTCATGATCTACTTGAACCCAAATAGCACTGTTTTCGAGAAATGCACTCATTTGCAAATCAATTTGGTTTTCACGAGAGACTTAATCGAATCTCTCGCTTAGAATATTCTACAATTGACGGAATGGAACTTGTTTCTATTTAAAAAAACGACCTTCTCACTCAAGCAGAAAAGTGTCTTAGTGTGTCCGCCCGATCCTAAATCGGATGACTGATTGTTACCACTAGGTATCAAATGGTTGAATTTTGTCAGGCTTCCTGGTGCAAATGTTGCGTACATCAATCGGTGCCAAGTTCCAACGAACAATTCCTAGTCTATCATATAATGTCTACCAACTCCTATAAAGCGAAGATTATATACCCAAGGTGGGTGAATTTCTCTGGGTGGATTTTCAACGTTTGGGGGGTATGAAAACGATGCCCCTTAATTTGAAGATACCAGTTACTAGAAAACTAGTGTCCACTTCTCTTCGTTTGATATTTGAGTCATCTGACGCTCATCCTTGCCATTTTCAGTTTTTTGGCGTCAGCTGACTCTTAGATCATTTTGGGCCTTACTACTGGAGTCCTAGTTGGGTGAAAAACGTAACCCGAGGAGACAACATCAGATTCATTTGCGTTCCAATTTTTTGTCCATTCCACGACTGCGAGTTCCACATTTGCGTGCTTCCCAAACAAGGTCCCAGTTCTAAACACATAGCTCCATCTAGAAGACGCTGCGGTAGAAAGATCTAAAGTAGTAACCAAAATTAGTCGTCACATAGTTCTGTCTAAATGAGATATACCTGACGATAACATGATGCACAATGGAAGGTGATCTTAAACCGGACGAGAAACCAGTTGAATGAAAAATGTTCACATAGTAGTGTACACGAGATATGTGTAAAAACAGATAGGTTGCCTGTTCGGGTTGCCGGTCTTGTCGCACTGTTTGGGTTTATGAACTTGAAAAGTGTCTTCTGCCTCATGTCCCGAAGTCATCATCCGTATGTTCGTTATGCCATCCGGCGGACCTTGTGTCGTTGTCTTTCACCTCATTCATACAAGTTTCGTATATTTAAATCCACTGTTTTCGTTCTGTCAGGGAGTTTTCCTAGTTTTATTTTGTATAGTACTTGCTTTGCCGTTAATAGGATAGCTACGGATTTTGTTACGTCAAATCTTGGTCACATTGTATGCACCTACTGATAAAGATGTTGTCAGATACTGCTGAGATAAGTGGTGTGATAGCGCAACTGAATCAGTCTATCAGTCAGTCAAGGAGACAGATACTTTGTATGTGCAGACATGTGAAGAAATCAGTAACGCGCACAAAATTTTTTATTGACCAGACGTTTGGGTGAAAATGTGGCATGACCAATATCTCCGACTGGGATACCGAGTGCCAATCTGTGCACGTCAGTACAAAGCGAATTTACCGACGGTTGTAGAAATGAGCCTGTCTCTCCAAGTTTGGCTGTCTCTGTGCTTGCATTCTGTTGTACTGACGTCACATATATCGGTTTATTTTTTGCTTCCAGTTGCGCAGACCGTAGATAGACATTCGATATCGAACTTAGTAGTATCGACCCAGGTTGTCAGCTGACCATCTCGGCACTAGTGTCAGTCTCGGTACGACTGTGATGAATACACAGCTCTTAGTATAGCAATGTGTTTGCGAAGGTGAACTTGTTTGGACGATCGGTATCGACTTGGTTGGATTGGCTGCTGTAGTCAAGCAAGAGAATTTAAGGTGGACCTATATGTATCATACGCTGTCTCGAGGAAATATCCCAAGATAAAAAGCGCGATGCGGATGATTCCACCAGTGTAGTGGGGGAATTTGAAGAGTTCCTCTGTAACCGAGGTAACAACAGTCAACTTTTGAGGATCGATTCTCCATTTCTGCGTCAGAAAAACATCATGTGGTTTTACCAAGCGAGAATAGCCGTGATGGGTTTTTATGACAGGAACTTTTTCCGCTGTGAAGTACAGGCAGTTGGTGATTTTTCAGCTCAATGGCCTGCTGCTACACAATCAAAGAAATCATGAGTTCTTCCGCAGAATTCGGAATATGCAATTCGGACACAGCATGCACATATTTCAAAACACAATACACATAAAATAGTCAGTGTTCCGAGCAATCATCATTTGTTCCATCTAACCAATCGCAGGATGAGATTGAGTCCCTCAAATACATCCTATCACGCTCTTATGCATGAATAAATGTTATGCAGGAAGATCAGTCGCTGTTCGAAAAGCCACTCTACAAACATGTGGCACGTGTCTTATTTCATCTGCAAGGGAAGGCTGGATGGTGTTTGAGACGACCAGGAACTTCATCACTTGAACCTTGCTAGACTGAAAAGCAGGTGTACCGTTGCTTGGTTGGAACAACTTGGGTTGGCCAATATGGTGAGCGAAACTGAAGCTGAGCGGAGAGGATATTGATAAAACCGAAACAATTCATGTTGGAACAGTCTGTAGAGAAATATTTGGGAATAACTGTGGTTTGTAAATCTGGGGGATCAATCAACTTGTCACGAATGTCTCCAGCTGAGAAACCGCAGGGCAGTTTGAAAAAAATATCTCCAGATGTTTCGAACCTTGCGACCTTTATCAACAGAGAAATAATGATGGAGTGATATATCGCCGAAGTATTAAATTTTAAATCCCCAGTGCTGCAAGGATTTGGTTTAAACTTTCTCCCACGTAGCTTCAAAGAAACAGTTCTAACGAATTAATATGTAGCTATCACGGGAGCCATTTCTTCACAGTTAGAATATCTCTCAGGCAATCTAACACGATTCAGCCTCCTTTTACTAGAACAGTGGTTTGATTGGTCATTCCGGTAAAGCTTATTCAATTGTGAAACGTGGCTCCCCTTTATGGTCGATGAAAGCCCCTGGTTAGCCCAACAATAGTTCCACCCGCTTTGAGGGTCATCAGCTGGTCTTATCTGACTGGACGTACACGCAGACAAATGCAATTTGAAGTATAGTTAAACGGAAGCTCTACGGCATCTCAACTGATTGTCTTTTCCTAAAGTGAATCCGGTGTATGAAACCTGCATCCTATTTTAGTTGAAACGATATTGAAGACAATGTAGGACTTTTTAAAGATACTGGTCAGAAGTCTAATCGACCTACTTGGAAAACCCACCGGTGGTTTTGCATTTCTTGAGGCTCATCGGGCAGACGAAGCTCAGAGCTTCAACAAACGCATTGTTCTATTTCAATTTACACAATGGGCTGTTCACAGCTAGCGGAATAAGGCCTGCCAGAGAAGAATTAGGGAAAGCAAAGACGATTGTGGACTGTGGGCGAGTTTCCAGAAACCTCATGAGTAACGCTTTCGGTCAACTTTAACATTTCGAAAATCATACCACTTGAAGCATAACACAGGTCTTTGTGAAGCGCATTCAGCTGAACAGTGTCATAAAGCCATTTTGCCGTTTGTATTCTTTTGAACCTCCCATTATCACCAACATTATTCGCAAATGAATTTATGTGACCTAATTTTATTTCGTCTTTATTAGGGAAACTGTAGAAATGTTTGAAAAGTAGCAATTCACCCTTCTGGTTCCCATTCAGAAAAACGTTAATACTGATTTTGTGGGTTGACAAGGTGTTAGTTGGAATGTCAACAGGTATCATCCTGAGGAACGGCGTCGTAAAGATCAAACACTGACTCAGCTAGATCACAAGTTACTCGACCAATTTTTTCAGCTGATGACAACTCCCACATCTACCATCCACTTTGGAGCAAAAGAGGCGTTTGTTCTAACTGAATAATGATGTCGAGGCTTATAAAGCTGTTCAGTCCTTAAAAATATCTGTTTTTCCCGCTGAAGTGCCTAAAGACAGAGGGCTTACAGACAAAATCGGGCTGCTTTGGTCAGGCTCTGTTTAGATACGAAAAATGACAGTTCTTCTTAATAACGTCGCCACGTATTTCCGAGTAGGTTTAATGAAAGCGGAACGCTACCTGAACACTAATTGGTTATAACATCAGAACTCTGCACAGAAGTAGTTGACAAATTAGCCCATCTAACCGGATGCGCATATATGGTCAGAAGAATTTCATGCGAAGGGCGCTAGGGATTTCA